GCTTCCAAGGCTGGAGCGGCGCTCTCTTTGTAGGAGCGGATGCTTAGTTGCTTTCCAGGCGTCATGTTGCGTAGCAGCACACTATACGCCATGAGGGACTCGCTGTAGTACTGAGCCCTAGCGTCGTCGGTGTCTTCCACCGGTTTAGGATAGGAGCCGTCGAAGTAGTGGTAGATCTGCGCTGTCTGTAGGAGGAGCTCAAGCTCAAAACTCCATGTATAGAAATCTTTGCCGACAAATGCGGCAGTAGTCTTGATTTTTGAAACGCTGAGGAAGCGTGCTTGCGCAGAGTTAATGACTTCATCACTTTGACGGGGGGCAGTTTTTGTTGATTTGTCTGTGTCGAAGGAGAAGGTGTGCACGGCGGTGTCACGGCTTTTCGTAGCCGGTTGTCCAGGTTGTGCTGGTTGGGAAGAGGTTCCCGCATCGCCTTTGTGCAGATCTTGGAGTTCTTTCTCCATAGTTGAAAGTCGAGCGAATAACTGCTCGAGTGCGACAGTGCCGATCATGGTTGTCGCCTCATTTGTCGCAGCCGGGTTGGTTTGTCCTTCGGCCGTCAGATTTGCTTGGCCTCCGGATCCTCCGGCCATCTTGGTCTTGGAGCGTGTGCCGCTCGCCAGATCTTGGTTCGGCAAATTTCACGGAAGTGATGTTGCAAAGAATCCCTGAGTAGCTCTCATACCATGTTACAATCCCAAGTGGGACTTAGCAAAGGATCGCTCAGGATTGATCGCAGAGTAGTGTTGCAGCGGAAGCTTGAATCTCAGGTCAGAGTGAATGTAAATGACTGAGTGCCGCTCGCGTCTGGTCCAGGCCGGTGTGTAACTCCGTAATTTTCCATACGGAATTATCACCGTTTTCCTCCATTTGGCGATTTATAGGAAGATTTGCGACGAAAATAAATGAATTTTAGGCGCTGGTCATCTTACTGTGAGTCGAGTTGACTGCAGAAATGACGAGGGCTGATTCTGTAGGTCGCGTAATTCTCCCTTAGTCGAAATTCGCGTCTGATCTCGGCCGTTGAGAAGAAATTCGATCCGACGCTCCAAATTCCAACTTTTTTGGGCGAAATTTCTCGAGGACGTTGAGATTCGAATCGATCCGACGGTCGAAATTCCAACTTTTTCGCCACTGGACCTGAGGAGTGTTCGAAAACCGGTTCGAGGGGGACGTTAAAAAATAGCGCGGAACTGGTTTACGTACCCGTAATCGGCGCTTTTCGTCGTCGCCCCCGAGGTTTTAAAAGCTAGTTTTCAGCGGTCGAAAAACTTCGCTCCTAAACAGGCTCTGATTACCAAGTGTGAGGAACTAGGATCGAGCTCAGAAAAGAGAGATTGAATTGAATTGAATGATCACCTGGGTACAACACGAGGCTATATATAGGCTCGACACAAGGCCCCGTAACCAGGTGTTACGCGAAGGTTCCGCGGGTCGCGAAGCGTCCCGAACAGTTCCTTCCCGAATTCGGTAGAAGGCAATTCGGTGGCAACCGAAAAGCCAGAATTCGGTGCACGCAACCTAGCTCGGTGCTATAACTATAATAAAATATAGGAAAGCACCTAGCCTAGGAAATCAAGCAATTCATGCATGCATATACTTATCCTATGCTAGAAATAGCATAATAAAGTAAATGCAAGCAAGCATAGCTGGCATAAGCCGTCGTACTCTCACAGTAGCCCCCCTCCCCCCTCAGGGTCCTGCTCCCTCAGGTGTGTCTCAGGTAGACCCGCTCCCCGTGGCTAAGCCTGTCGAGGTCGCTGTCGACTCTGGTGCTGCTAGGGGTGGTGCTGCTAGGGGTGCTGCATCTAGGGGTGTTGAGCCTGAGCGTGCGGAGCCTGGGGGTGCTGAGCTTGGTTTGCTGCGTCTGAGGGTGCGGAGCTTGGGGGTGCTGAGTCGGAGAAGAGGGGGAGATGGAGTGGCAGCAGCAGGAAGACCATCAAAGTCAGCCCAGGTAAGAGAAGGAGGCGGAGGAGAGGGGGAAGCTTTGGAGAAGGGGTAGAAAGGGTGAGATACATCAAAGAAAACATCCCGGCTGCGATAGAGCTTGTTGGTGGGAGGATGAAGGAAGAGGTAATCTGGCGAGTCTGAGTTGTTGTTGTTGTTGTTGTTGTTTTTTTTTTTTTTTTGAAAGTGTACACCACAAACATAAGTGCTTACTAACAATAGCGGTCGTAACCATGCGTGAGCGAGCAGAGGCTGTCTGCTCCAATGAAGATTCTAAGGTGGGTTATACACTGTCCTAGGATTGGTCCAGATGGACTCAAAGCATCTGGTCCATGTCCATCTGTTATCGTGTGCCATCCGTATCTTGCCCAGCATACATTGCTCCTCCAGTAATCCCTTCAGGAACTTGTCAGCATTCGCCGAATTTTTCCGCTTCTGCCATGCTGTCGAGCGTGCTTTCGTGTACACTCTTGCATGTTTCCAAAAAGCTATTAGGATCAGCCTCTGATTTCGGCGCGTTCGGAATTTGCGCCCCGGAAAATTGCTTCACACCGCTCCTGCCAGACCTGATACAGTGTAATTGCGATGTTTGTTGCTTCGTGGAAGGCTGTGCTGGTCCCCGCCTTGCGCTGGACTGCGGTCAACCGTGCTGCGCTGGAGGTCGATGAGCATGTTGCTAGCTCTAGAACCATTGTTGTCGATCTTTGCTAGTGAAACTCTTGCAAAATCTCCCCGTGAATGTGCAGCAGAGAACACACAAACAAAAGACCAAGGAACGCAAAGATCAACCCCACACCCGTGCATAGCCCGTAGTCTAGCTCTCGTTGATTTAGTTATCTTCGCAAATACTCCGTCCTCGAGTCGCGCTCCGCGTTTCATGGTGAGTGGTGTGTTGCCTGATATTGTTTGCTCCCACCGAATGCAGAGTAGGTTGTGCCTGGGTTGTCGTTTGCTGCTCCTGACGAGCCTCTCCCGTGCGGGCCTCCCCATTTATTGCAGATAACAACGGACGCCCTTGCACTTGGGGCGGCTGCGCTTGCAAAAGCCTGCCCAGGAGGGGTCCTGGGCGACCAGGCGCCAGCCCTGCTCCAGGCCGCCGCGGTGCTGGCCGGGCGCGGAGCCTCAAGGTCTTCCAACGGGCACTGTTTGCATTGCCGAGGGTCCCGTGACCCTGTGTACATCTCCTCCCAGACGCACTCATGCGATTCTGCGGTCGCAACAGCAGCAGACGTTTCGGCACACCCAACGTCTGCAAAACCTCCTGCCTTGCCCTGTTCCCCGTGATGTTCCTCTGCGGTGCTTGATGAGGCCTGTCTACATACCCTGGTCTACGGTAGTGGACAGGCCTGGAACCAACAAAGGCCACACGCTCCGCTTGATTAGTTTAAAAGGGAGCGGAGCAGGCGACTGGCTTCATGCAGTGCCGACGAGAGGTGACCTCTCCATTTCCCCTGGTCAGTTCTCATTGGCCCAAGTATGTAGACAGGCCTCATCAAGTAGTGCAGAGGAACATCACGTGATGTTCTCATTGCCCTCGTGATGTTCCTCTGCGCTGCTTGATGAGACCAGAGACCAAGTCCTTGGGGGCCCTTTCTCTCTACAGCACTGGCCTGGTTACTATATTGTCAGTGACCCATGTTTCTCTAAACTTTGGGTCTCTACTTGCTAGATCCGCCCGCCCTCTTACGGTTGAATGGGGGTGAGGATAGGGAGGTCTCATGATAGGTGATGCATCCCGCCTCCCAAACCATCTGCAAATTTGCATATACTAGAGCGCTGTGGGTCCTGACCACATCCCCGCAGTTGCCACAACGGAGGTGGTTTGGGAGGCTTGGATTGGTGTTGGTCGAGCCTGTGCGTTTGCAATGGCAGACGTCAATGACGGCGAGATTCGTGTTCGAGCCGAAGCTGAGGGCCATGGAGAACTGGCCCGAGGAGGTTGAGAGGTCAGCTCTCGTGGGGACGCATATAGCCAGTCGACCACCCCTGCTGCCTTTAGGCTGATTAGGCGCAGTGCATGCCTGTTGTCAGTCATTGGCTTGTCCAGCTGTGTATCAGCTAACAACTCCGTGCCTCTGGCCTGGTGGATGTTTTGGGAGAGTAGGGCATGCAGATTACCCTCACTGGGTGTGACCTGAACTGGAGGAGGGCCTCCTGAGCCTCGGCAGTCAGGTCCGCTTCGAGTTGGGAGAGGGTGTTGATGGCCGGTGGAGGCGGCGTTTAGGTATGGAAGAGTGTCAGAGGTCCACTGGAGATTCCTGATCAATCCTAGGGAAGGGTTACAGGTACGTTGGCCTGGGGGGTTATGGGCGCACTCACCCGCTACGCAAACAAGCCCTTTTATCCCAGTGGTTAGTGACTGGGATTCTGACAGAGAGGGGGGTCACTGTGTTGAGGATCTGCTCTGGAGGCAGGTTCATGATTGAGTGATATGCAAACTCTGAAGGATCACGAGAACGGCAACACAAACACTGCTGTCAGACAATACCTAGTGGCAGTCCAACGATCCAGTTATGGGTCTTCATGATAAATGTCTTTGTTGATGGTATGCAGCCAGACCAGAACGATCATAAGCTACACAAGCTCGCTGTCATGTATGGCTTTTACCACCTGTCCATCTGTCCCACCATCCCCACCCGTCTTGCCCCTCCCCCCCCCCCCCCCCACAAGAAACGTGCTTCCCTGCTTGTTGCAGTGCTGGGGGCAGGTGCCACCGCAGGTTCAATTTTAGAGAGGGTAGGACAGCGAGGATGTGGTGCGAGGAGGAGGCGGTGTAGGAGGGAGTGAAGAGGAGTCACATCAGGAGAATGAGGATGAAGGATGACCTAGGGTTGCATGGCGGGTTCCAGTGAGGATAGGGTGCGTGATTGTGGGGCATCAAGTGCAACAATAGCAGGGGCAACAGAGGCTGGGTGGGTGGCGCCACTAAAGGAGCTGTAGGAGACGAAATGGCTGAATCAGCAGAACAAACATCTCCGCTTTTACGATACACAGTTTTGAAAACTCCATGTTTCACACATTCTAATGATAAATTTAAAGAACTAGAGTAAATCATATCACGGCACACAAATAACCTTTCCTCCTACTGTTCCAGCACAAGCGTTACCGTTGTAGTCTGCAAACGCCGCACTAGCAGCAGCTCCTCCACCATAAAAGCGGTAAGCACCTGAACATGTCAACGTTGGTGCAACTCGCTTGGCCCTCCCCTTGTTGCACAAACCTAACTGGAATGACCAATACTCTGCGCTGAGGCAGATCTGGGATCGCAAGATGTATGTAACGAATGTGCATGAAAGTGTTAGCATGTAGGAGACACAAAACATGAAAGGGATATTCTGACAAGGAACGCAAGACAGAGGCAAGGGCAACGTGTGCTCGGCGAATCTTTGCATGGAAGTGGAAGCAAGCATTCTGTAATGATAGCTCCTTGTGGTTGAGTGCACAGAAGATCTATTCCTGTTATTGCTCTCCCATCTTTGATTCTTTCCTCCCCCCTTTCCAAAACCCCCATTTTCACCACCTTCCGCACACCCTCTCCTCATACTCACAGCCCTCACCTGTACGCCAATCCTGCTGCCTGTCGCGTAGGCAGAGGAAGGGATGGTGTTGGAGCAAGTGAGGCCGGGATTGTTGCGGTACAGCGCAGCCCATGGGTTCTCACTGGCACCCCCTTGTGTAGTGCCACCCGAAGGGGGGACACTCGTGCTGGTCCTCTTAAGCAGCTTCTCGCACGTGTCTTGCGGAGTGAGCGTGCCGTATCTCACACACTCAGGGACGGTGAAGGCGAAGGCATCACTGCGCTCGAGGCACACAGAGCGGCCCGCCTTGATGGGCTTGGAGCAGTCAAGTCCGGGGTTGAGATCAGCGAGATCAGCTTCAGTGAAGTTGAGCTGCCTGCTCATGGATGCACAGGTGTCCCCCTGGAGAGTTGGGCAGAGGCAGGGATGTTGATGGTTGTTGCTTGCTCCATGATCAGTGACATAATGCAATGTGCTTAGTGAGAAATGATGCTATGTGTTGAGATGACTATGCCAGCTGGTTGTGTGCATAGTTTGACTGGGGAAAGAAAGGAAGAGGTCTCACATTAAGGGTGTAGAAGAAGGCAGTGCAGGGTGTGTCGGGAGTATTAGCCAGCTGAAGGACACTGCCCTTGAGCAATGGCTGGCTGCAGTCGATGCCCTGCATTCGGAAACACATGCATGAATGAGAGGTTTGTACTAAACTCGACAAAGGCCAGTCTTCCTCTCCATACCGGGTGCAGGAAAGTAAGGCTCTCATACCAAAGTACCTCATAGCGAGAAAGAAGAAAAGGGAAAAAACAAAAAAAAAACCCTGTCAATGATGGTTGAAAGTGTTACGTCAATGATAGGAGAATGAAAGAACGTCTCATCGAGTTAAAACAGGACCCTGCAAGGGTGAAAGGAGGATATATACTCTAAACAGAGGACATGCTGCTGGGAACCAACCGGCAGTGCAGAGAGAACTCAGGGGTACGTTGAAGCAAGATCCAACGGATGAAGTGATGTAAAAACAACCTGATATAGAAAATATGAATGATGGTTTGTATAAGTCACCTCATCTTCACCCACCGCGTTTTGGTCAGTGAAGTCAGTGAGTGAGAGGTCAACAAGTGGATGAACATCCGAACACAACCAGTTGTCTCCAGTGACTGTCATTGTGGTGGCTGTGGTATTAACTGCAGGCAAGAATGGGGAGTGAGATGCAGGCAAGAAAGGGAGAGAGAGAGAGAGAGAGAGAGAGAGAGAGAGAGAGAGAGAGAGAGAGAGAGAGAGAGAGAGAGAGAGAGAGAGAGAGAGAGAGAGAGAGAGAAGATCTTCAACGTAATGCCAACACCTATTGCTGCAAGTTCGTCATGAAGGTATAGCACACAGAAAAACTCAATCAAGACCACAGACATTCTGGGAGGCAGCTACTTGGGCTGCTCAAGCATCACCTGGATCGCAGGTTGGGAAGCCGTAAATGGTTATGCTTTCTACGTGATTGGGAGGGCAGATGCAGGAGTAGGAGCCCTTGCCATCGTTGATGCATGCTCCCACGTAGCAGGGGTTCTTGAAGTATGACCCACACACGTCCACTGCCACACGTGTACCGGGGAGGCGGATAGAACAGACAATGGGGAAAGAGGCAAGATAAGGGGTAGATTTGAGAAGGAGAGTAGAGATGCAGAAGTAGTAGATGTGCGAACTTTGTTGAAGTTGAGAGGAGGATCTTAGAAAGGTTGGAAGTTTGGGAAATAGTGAATGCATTAGAAAATGCAAGAGCCCAAGATACGAAAGCAAGGGTAGGAAAATTTGCTGCACCGCCAAAAAAGGTTGACATTATGTATGCTGAGGCTTCTTACAGACACGAAAATGGGGCAATGGGGAGGAGAGAGGGGATATGTGGGCAGAATAGAGCGGGAATATGAGATACGAAAGGGGAGATTGCAGTGAAGAGTGGAAAGAAAGGGGGAGACGAAAGAGGTGAAATGGGGAGTAAGAGAGGGGAGTCAAGTAACCAGGTCAACGCAATAGCAAAACTGTCCTTGATGATGATGAGAATAGCATTGGCTAGTGCTGCTGCGTCAGCATTGCTCACCATGTTCACATAATAAGTTGACCTGAGATTCACATGGCGATCATACCTGCTGGCCTGCACTACTTATCACATTCATTTTGAAAATGCTCGAAAGTGTGGAGGCGTTTCATTGCCACACAGGCTAGGCCAAGCATAGTGTGGTATCAGTAGTGCAACCTCATTGCTCTACTTGCAACTGGACATACCATAAGCACATGTGGTGAAGCCATCTCCATTCACCACCTGTACAAAAGGCTGCACAGTAGCGGTGGGAATGTTGCAGGTGCAGTTATTCGTGCTCTCTGCTGTCACGCCACATTTGAATCGGCCACACGGATTCATAACGGGCTGCGGCCGATCTCCCTGGTAGCTGCTTTGACCACAGGGGTCCCCTGGAACTGGGAAATGATGGAGAGGAGAAGATACACTTGAAACACGTTGATGGAATTGGGCAAATATCACTCTCCGTCAGTTTGATCCAAGCATGTTTGAGTCACACAAAACAGGGGCTCAGTATGGTTCAAAACTATCTGTAGACACAAGCAAAAACCGAGTTGCAATTCGGTTTGTGTATGCTCCAACTTGCAAAAACGCTTCACAGGTTGGAGCAGTTATGTTTGGTTCAACCAGGGAAACACATGCTTTCTATCTCTTCGAGCAATCTAATATTTCTTCCTGTTTTTCTCATTTCCACCATCCATCACAATCAATACAACTACCGGGTAAATGCCTCACTCTTGACAACGGGGTAGATGCCAGGCAGCACGTTGATGCCACACACGCCATCCCCTCCCTGAATGTCCATGCGTATGTGACCCTTGTCGCCCCACTCCTCTCCCCACGAGTTGCGAATAATCCAAAACGGAGGAGCAATGCGGTTCTGGCTGCCGTCATTTCTCGTAATGAAGTACCCAATAACGAGTACAACATGGTTGAGACTTCCTGTATAGCAATCAGGATCCTGGTATTTGTATGTCTGATGTGGCATGGGGTAGAACCAACCACAGAAAAGGCAAAAAGCACGAGTTCTTTTGCCAGAGTCAAAGTGGACGTTCAAGGAGAGATTAGCTCTGTATATTCCTGAGTTTTTTCAATTAAATTCTGGGTGGCCATTCACAAGGTGAAAGCACGACGGTATGCTGAATGAGGGCTGAAGTGGTTCACTCACCCCATCATACATCACGAACGTGGCAGCAGACGCCTGGATGTGAACCACCACTGGCTGGTTCTGCACTGCCATCATGAGCCCCACATACCCCTTGAACCGCGCTCGCTCGAACGACTGCACCGGGTACGTTGTTGCCTGGGATGGGCCAGGAGATTTGCATTGGGAATGGGGTAGTAGAGGGTGGGAGGGAGGAGAAGAGAGAGAGTTATGGAGTGTGAATGAATAAAGGGGACAGAATAAAGAAAACCCAACATGTCTCCAACAAATCGCTGTCATAAAGTTTGAAACACACTAGAAGTTTGGTTACTCTGGGAAAAATGGCCTCGTTTCCTGAAAAAGACACTTCTGTTACAAGCTAGAATAACCTACGAAAAGCAAACAGTGTTGAGTCATGAATAGCAAACGGCTCTCATATCGCCAACGCGATTACTGGCGCGAGTACAGCTTCATGCCTATATCTCACGGCTAATTCTGTTTGCCCTACCGGGTCACTGTCCCCTGTGAGCCCACTGGAGGCATCGAGAGCCACAAGCTTCTCAAGGGCCTGCGTGGGGGAGCCGCCAGCGGAGCACTTGTCGGAGTCGGAGAGCCCCATGAGGGCGAAGAGCGCCTCCACTGACAGTTGAGGGGCGCTCTGCTGCTTTGCAATGCCGTATGCCGCCTCCACACTCGCCACCACCGCATATGCCCAGCACGCATCTGAGAGGAAGGCGAAGGTGAAGCAAGGTGAGCCATGCAAGGAGTGTGGAGAAGTCTCTGATGGCACATACCATGTTCACATCGGTCTGTTCCTACGGTTTTTCATTTCTATCAGTTGCACATCGCATGCCAGCCTATCATGTACAGCTTGCCGCCAAAACTAGTCGGCAAAACGTCGGAAGTGCAGCGGAACAGAAAATTCGTGCAAGAATCTGAACTGGAAACCCACGATCCTCTTCCCACTTACTGCAGTCTCGCTGGTTCTTGACAGGCCAGCCAAGGAAATCCACAGAGTCCCACGTGTGGAAGTCACGAAGCCTCCACGCGTCCTTCTTGGTGGCCGAGAGCTCGAAATCCGAACTCACGTAGCGCGAAAAGGGGCTGCCTCGAGACGGTGCAAATGTGTCCTCCGATAGCGAGAGGCCAAGGGCTGTGAGGGGCGAAATATGTTAGAAAAAAAGGGAATATGGGTGAAGAGTAGTTGGGAACACGCATGTCGCATCTCTGGATTGGTGATGCCACAGTACTGGCTGAGCCACGAATCAATTTGAGAGACTGGATGACCCCTGCACCTGGGACACCGGCATCGAGCAACGTTCTACCATCAAGCACCCTCTACTACTTTTCACAGCCTCCGTCGGTCTCCCCTAGTGACCCACAGTAATAGCTAGTTAGATCATGCGGTGGTGGTTGTGCTTGTTTCTTGCTGCCTCTAGCATCGGACCAGGATGGCATTGCCAGACTAGATAACTAAAAACTTATCGATGTCAGACAACGGAAGCGAGGTGCACCTCCTGTAGCTGCCACGTGGCAGGGAGCTCACCTTGATCTTTGAACAGGACGGCCTTGACCTTAGGAATGCCTGCAGGGAGATTCAGCAGTCATAAGAGCAGCCATCAGGTGGTGGTTGACTCGTTAATCACACAAAGAGCACCTCATAAAGAGGTAGCAATGGCAGGATCATTCTCATTAGCCACTGCCAGTCATTATCTACAATGCACAACATCCCAGTCTATCATGACACACTGACAACGCCAATGTGGTTGCCCTATCCTGTAATGTTCAACTCAAAATCAATGGCAGAACACCAGAGCTACCACCCCCACCACCTTTTCTTCACGCTTTTCTCACTCAATTAGTCGTGGCCATGATTCCCATGCATCACCCCTGAAACATATGCTTGCCTGTTTGCACGGTGGAGGAGAGAATGCCTAGCCGCTGGAAGGGCTTCACAGTGGTGGACGCAACGAACCCAAACGAGAATGCCGGCTGCTTCACTCCCGGCTGCAGGACCGCACACAGCGACACCCTCCCCAGCAGCAGTGGCTCGTCTGGCTTTGTATTCGAACTGGCCAGGAACACTTGAATGGTGCCGGGATCCCCAGGCTCATAGTCCACCCACACCTTGTATGAGTCGCCATCGGTCAGTGTGAATGGAGACACCTCCTTGACCAAACACTCCTCTGTGCCGTTGATGCACAGCCCCACGTGCTGCTCGCCCACATCATTCGGAAGCGTGTCAAAGACAACGGCTATGCTCCGAAGTCCCAATCCACTGTACCCCACACCAGCAGGCTTCCCCACCTTGGGCTTTGCTGCTATGACAAGTGCAAAGCCATTGGACCCAGCAGTACCAAACTGGGGCATGAGAGAGAAGGTGAAGTTGACTCTGAACGCCAACCCCAAGCCACATCCCGAGGTAACACCACGCTGGTAATGAAACAGGGTCATTGGCTTCGCCATGAACTTCCCCATTGTCTCCTTCTTCGTGCCCTTGGTGAGAAACGCGAATGGCGGGAGGATGTTCACCGTGGGCCCTGCAGAGTTGCAAGGGAGGTGCAGCAGGACATATCATGTGGTCAGTGTTAAGCGGGCAAAGGAGGTAGTGACGAATCTTTGGTGGTGGTTGCTAAGCCAATCAGGAGCATATGCTGCTCTCTGTGTATGTTGCACTTGTAATAGATGAAGCTTACCTACTGAAGTTAATGTCGGAAAGATTGCAGCAAAGACGATAAGGAGAGGAAAGGGTTATGAAGGGCAAGGAATGGTGCACAAAAGTGTTTCGTCCGTTCAACCAGTGACTATATTGCAAGTCTGACCTCAGAAGCAATTGAACTCGAACCGAGTAACGACTGGGCAGTTACCCGAACCGAACCGAACATGTGGAACCAGGAGTTTGAGGTTTGCTATATGTGGTCAAACTGCTACCGCTTGGAGTCAAAGTCTTTGAAGCTCAACTCGGCCCCACCTGTTTTGGTTCGGTTTGGCGGTACATTCACTATAGTCATGTATTTTCACGTTTTTGCTGAGGTTTTCCACTCTGTTTTTGTTGCTAGCTTTCAACCAAGTGTTGAGGAAAATTCGAACCAATGCACCAGAGCCAGCTCTAGTAAAAAGGAAATAAGTTTTTAATAGTCTCAAGTAAATCGCAAGAAGGTACTACAGGTATTCCTTACCTGGTGGCAGAACACAGTCGCCTCGTCCGTACCGCACTGATCCTGCACCACACGAGCACGTTGGCACCAAGCTGGGCCCGTCTGGGTAGCACACGCCACGACCACCACAGGCAGCAGTGGTTGGAGAGATGCCACAGAATGCCATGCACTGTGCTGCGGGTCGCTGCAACTCAGGACTGCAGGCTTTGCTTGGTGCAAAGCAGTTGGCAGCGATGATGTGTCGCTGGCAGTTTGGTGCGGACACAACACCCGACAGGTAGTTGTCGGACAGGTCCGCTGGAAGGAGTGGCGGGAGTTTCACCAGGGGGCCTGTGAGGTAGTTGTGAGAGAGATCGCTGCAGGGGAACGGGAAAAAAGGAACGGGAGGTTTACATTGTAGGCAGGTGTTAATCACACAGAAGTGTAAGTAAAATCAGAATAAATGAGAATAATAGTGTTACATGAGGTGATGGGTGGGTGGAAGTTGGGTTTGAGAAGAACAGGAATGCAGGGGGGAGGGGTAAGGGACGAGGATGAAGAGAAGAGGTGCAGGAGCAACGAGGGAGAGACTGTGGGAAGTAGAGGAGGGGGGAGGAGGAAGCAGTGGGAGTCAATTGTTGCATTGGACTGGCTTCAGTTAGAAGCACCTCTCGACAGCACAACAATAGGAGCAAAGCATGTGAAATGGTGGACACAACCAGCACAAATACTCTGCTTCAGATGCAGGAGTGTAAATGAGAGTGCACAAGATGGGGTGAACAAGCGTGTGGAAGAGTATAGAAATGTATGAGAATCGTATAAGTAGGAGCAAGAGTGGAAGGGCGCATGTGGATTTTTTTGCTGGCATCGTACAGGGTCTGCATGTCTGTCAGTTTGCTGAGGCTGGCAGGTAAGCTTCCAATGATCTGGTTGTAGGCAAGTGACCTGATGGGCGTGAAGGCGGACAATTGTCGAAAGGGATGGATGGCAGGCCTGAGAAAGAGCCTGAGCCGCCTCTTGACTCGCATTTGCAACAACCTGAGCAACAAGATTTTGCTTTCGACTCGACTTGCAGCAAGATGGACTAGAATCGCTAGCGGTGCCTTGCCATGCACAACTGCACCACGCAGGAGGGCTGATCCATCTGGGATTACTATATGTGGGTCCACAAGCCGCAGCACTGCTTGTCTCCATGGACGGTGACCCTAAGGGTTGAACGGGGCCCGATCAAGCTAAAAAAAGTTCCCAACTTTTTTCTATCCTTCAGTAGGCTAGACACGTTTCTTGCAGTCTCCTTGCGAGTGGTTTTATTTCAGTGGGATGGGATGGCGTGTCAACTTACAGATAACTCAATGCAGCCAGCTTGCCAATTTTAGAAGGAATCGTTCCGCTAAGACGATTTTTCGCCAGCTGTCTGTACATGCAATAAGACAGTTATTTCATACAAGCTGTGAGGTAGAATGCAGTGCTGAAAAACACATATTATGAGTCAAGAAGAAATTTGAGATCTCAAAACAAGTTTCAATACTATTTTTTTTTTTTCTTGATAATAGCTCGCACAAGTTGCTAAGTCGAACCTGGCCGATTTGAAGAAAACCAAAAACCGCATTCAACCGGCTCAATCTGATGTGGCTCGCCAATTGGTTCAACCAGGTGGGCAACAAAAATTTCAACCATCAAATCTCTTCGATGCGATCCAAACCGCGGGAGCGATTGTGCGCTGTGCGATGTGGAGTGCTAACGCATCAGAGGCCTGGGGTTCACGCGGCTCACAGATTAGCGAGAGACACAAGTGCAGACATTGTTTCTGGCAGGCTGCCTTCTAGCTCGTTTTGCTGCAAGAAGCTGCCATGCAGTGCCACAAAAAAAACACAAAAAATTAACCCACGTGTGAACATGTGCACAAGGCCAGGAAGTCACTAGAAGCTTCAGACGATCTCCAGAAGAGATGAGGTTAATAAAAGAGGGAGGCAGTCTCCTTGCAGACAACGTAAATTTGATCCAAGGTGCTTCTCGTTTTTACTCCTCTGCTGTGAGCAGCTGTGGAGGTCTGCGTTGGTACTTGGGACTCATGCGACCCTGCGCTAAAAGCGATGGCTGAAAGCCACATCCAAACTCTCTGAAAGCATACCCATGTTGCAACCTGCTTCATTGCTTAATGTGCACAAAAGGAATGAATGACCAGAGTCCGTAAACAGCAAGTTGAACCACACAAGAACGCCCCAAACATTTCCTCTCGGGGGTCAAACCCGCCATACCTGATCCTTTGAGTCTGCCAACCTAATACTTAATAACTCACTGCACATGGCGCACACATACTACCTCGATGGAGAGAAGATCATAACATAGGAAGGGGCATGGATGGGATGGAGTGGAGATGATCGGAATGCTAAAGAGTGGAGGCGAGGGGAAATACAAAAGGCAGAAACAAACCAGAAGGGACTTACAGCGCCACTAGATTCACAAGATTGCCGATTGCAGGCGAAACTGTGCCATTGAGCTTATTCTCATTGAGATACCTGTAATGATACATATACAAGAAACGCGTATGCAGTACATAAAAAGGAAGGGTTCAAGCTCGCACGGAAGAAATGAAAAGACAGAAAAGCAGAGAGGGGCCAACCAGATTGGTATGCCAACAATAACAGGAGAGCACTGAAGCACAGCGTAGGCACAAGGAAGATTCGAGCTTGAGCCGGTTCGGGTCAAACTTGGCCGAATTGGCAGGTCTAGTCAAACCGTCCCGGATGGGTTCGGGCAGAACCAGCTCCAGCTCACAATTTAACTAGACTGAGTGCTGGTCGGGTAGTTAAATGGACCCGACAATGGAGAACATCGGTGCGGGCTGGCATTGAGAGGAGACGAAGCGGAGAGGATACGTGCACAAGGGAGGGAGAGCACGGAAGAGAGCTTTGCAGGAAGCTTTACAGCCTTTGCAGGTTCGTAAGCTCGTAGAGTTCGTCCGGGATTGAGCCCGTCAGCTGATTGCCCGAGAGGAATCTGCAGCAATAAACGCAAATGAGCATGTGATACAGGGAGCGTATTCTGTGTAGACAGCAGCATATTCATGCGATCCGGTCTGAGCTGAACTCGAGCTTCAAACAAATTCCGTTTCATTTCGTGACAAAGCAGTTTGCGTCTAAGTAAACAAGGCACAATGCGTTGAGCTGATTTAACATCCCCAAAATCCTTGTGTGTTACCATACATAATCAGAGCAGATGAAACATCTTTAAGCGCACTGTTGGTGCTGGTGGTGGTAAGTGGAGCTGCTACGAGACCATTGAACGGATGGAAAGGAAAGCATCAGTGTGGACAAGTGTCAAGACGGCGAGAAGCGGTGGAGAGGAGAAGCGGTGGAGAGGAGGGGGCGCACAAGTTAGAAAGGACAGGCAAGCAACAGCTTTGCAGGACGCCTTACAGCATTGTGAGAGTTCTAAGTTCACTGATTGCAGCAGGAATTGAGCCATTGAGTTGACTGTTATAAAGGGATCTGCAAAAATGAACACATATGTGCATGCATGTGTAGTGGTGATAAGTGGACTTAATAGGAGAGGATGCAATGGAAGAAGAAGCAACAGAGAGAACATGCGTGAGGACTGGCATCAAGAGGAGCAGAACTGGTGGGAATAAAGCAATTGCGTTGCAGGAGACCGTACAGGCTTCGCAGTCTTGAAAAATTACTGATTCCATCGGGAATGGAGCCAAACAGCTTATTGTCTGCGAGAGATCTGCAACGAGATGGACAAACGGCCACATGGTAGGTAGATATTGGAAGCCAGTTATTCCATGGAAGTGGCTAGCATAGCAGCATATGAGATTGTGCATGCTGCATATGTAGCCATTGAGTGTGTAAACGTGTTTATATACTGACATTGTGGGAGGCCTTGTTGCGGACTAGCCTCGAGGGTAGGAGAAGTGGTGGAAGAGTGGAGGGGTGCAGAAGGTGGATCAGAGCGCAGCCAAAAAACAATGTTGCAGAAGGTCTTACAAGGATGTGAGTGCTTGAAGATTGCTCAATACATCTGGGATCGAGAAGCGGAAATTATTTTTGGTGAGATCCCTGCAACAATGAACACAGATAAGCATGTGGCGGTGGTACATGGACCATATATTCAAGAGAATGGAATGGAAGAGAGATTAACGGAGGCCATGGGTGTGGACTAGCATCAACGAGAGGCGCTCAAGATAGGGCAGAACAAAACAACGGGCTTGCAGGATGCTGTACAGGTATTGCAGGTTGGAAATTCTGCTGATGCCAATTGGGATGGAGCCATACAGACGATTCTGCAGGAGATTTCTGCAATGGCAAACACAAAGGGGCATGCGAGAGATAAAGGAATTTCAACTGAAGCCTGCATAGTAACCAGCCCACCCGTAAATAGGGGCTGGCTCGTGGCAACGTGGGGTCTTGTTGTCGTCATCTTGTCACAGGGCGATCTTTCTTAGGTCACCAGGATCGCAGCGAAGTTTACTCTTTTGCCACTTTGCTCGTAGTGCTTGTAGTCTCTTACAGGCAATCCGTGCTACAAATGCGCCATCCGTATCAAGTACTAAAAAAACAGCAAAGGATAGGGTGGTGGAAAGTGAACCTGATGCAAGAGGATGAAACAGATGAAGGGTCTATGGAGAGCATGTGTGTGGACTGGCTCGCATCAGGGGGAGGGGATTAGGTGCAGAGGAGAGACGCACAAGCACAATCAACCAAGAAGCGGCCTTACAGGAAGCCTTACAAGGTAACCAGGTTTCTAAGATTGCTGACCGCCGTGGAGATTGATCCACTAAAATAATTCACTGAAAGATCTCTGCAACAACACCCACAGAAACGAGCAGACAGAGGGAGATCAAAGGTTGCATGAGAAACGAGTGGTATACGTATGTGCATGCGAACCACAACTTGTGACAACAGGTTGAACCATGTCAGCATCGCAACTCAGCAGAATGGTTCCACTGAATGCTTTCATAGCCTTTTCTTAGTGCATACTACACCCGTGACCCTTCTATGGTACTTCCTTGTGAGTCGCTTACTCATTGAAGAGTAGTACGCTCCCAGGCATTTGGCGACGACAGCATTTGACAGTCAAATTCCTTCATTCTCGGGACGGGCGGTAGTCTGCTTGATGAGAAGTACCCGTAGCACAAGTCTAATGTGAATCGTATTCAAATACTATGCTTGCTCAGTTTCACACATCTGCTGGCAATGGTGGAACCTGCCCTACTACACGGCACTTGTGCGACCCTGTGCTACGTCCACAATCAGATAGCACTTTTCCCATGGTTACTAAGCACGCCAGGGGAGTTACCCAACTCCTTGCTTGCAACCTAATCTGACAGATAGCACTCCTTTATTCCCAACGGAGACGAGAGTACACAAATGGGAGGGGAAGTGGATGGTATGGATAAGACTAGCACGAGGGGAAACCATAAAAGCAGAGAGGAAACTTGGAGCCTTACATGATCCTCAATTTTGTGAGTCCATAAACTTCGGAAGGAACTGAGCCAGTGAGCCTACTGTAACGAAGGTATCTGATATGATGAATAACATGCAAGAATGCCAGATGATACGGCAGAGAGTTTTAAGTTAATGGGCAAGGGGCGGGGCGAAAGAGCCGAGACAAAGAGGGGAAATAAAGGTTGAGGATTGTTGGGTGAGGAGAAAAGAGGAGATGTGAAGAGAGACGCCGGAAGAAGATCAATTATTTGTGTCAACGAGCCACTGGTGTAAAGAATGACTAGGAAAGGATAGCTATCGCCGTTGCAAGAGGGCTGCGGAGGGCCCCCGACGTACAGGACAGTGAGTTCGCGGAGGTTGGAGATGGAGCTCGGAAGGCGCCCTCCTCTGATGCCACCTTGAATTTTTCTGCAATAAATTGCACCCAAAACATGGCGTCACATTGTTTCCATGAGCCAACAGGGCTTGAAAGAGTGGCTGGGCACTTGTAAAGGTGGCACTAGTCGTCATGAATGCTGCAGGTCGCAGCTCACATCTGGTTGATCATCCCGCTCGTATCGCAGTCGATGCCTGTAGCAGCCTGGCAGGTAATAGGTCTGCCATTGAACGAAGTCCACCCAGCCAACACCTGACCCCATGCGGCCTGGCAATCTCGCAGGAATGTAACTGCCAGTCGACGGAGGGAAGGGGGAGGAGGGGGGAGGGGGGGGAGAGGAGGCGGTGGGAAATGAGAGGGGGGGAATTTCGATGGAGGGGGGGTCCTTTGGTGGTCGTTTGTAACGCCTGTGGGGCTTACACGTAAGGGTATGAGAGCATCCGCTGCGCCTCAAATACAACCCTCGTTTTGACTCAGTGGGTAGCGAAGTGTTACATCGTTTGTGTGTGCGTTTTGGAAATGGGTACTTCGAAGCTAGGCTTGGAGTAGCTACGTTCTCAATACAAAGATTCTACTGCTGGTGACCAGCAGCATCATGGCTGCAAACTGAGCCGCTGACCTTGCGAGGCAGCCATCACTTGGGCGTGGACCACGGCGGGCGTGGCGAGAGCGGCGAGCCACCACGCGAGTGCCAGCGCGGCGCACTGCGCGTGCCGCTCACGCGGCCGCTGCATCCCCTGGAGGCGCCAATGATTTGCCGACGCGGGAGCCCAGGTGCGGGCGGCGAGCCTGGAGCCCCGCATGATACTGCTCCCGACTTGCTTAAGATGATCTTTACCTTGTTTTCACGACTGCTCTCTTCCAAGTATGGGGCCGCGCTGTCTACTAACATGCAAGCCTGGCACGGTTCAACCGTGGTGCTTTTTGTGGTGGGAGGGTTGTCTGACAGTGTTGGTGTGAGTTCTTCATGTAATTCAGCACAGTAATGGTTTTGCTACTATCAACCAGGACGATACAGTAGTAACTTCCGTTACAAGCAATGAGGATTGAACGTCTCACACCTCCATCGAGCAGCATTCTGGAATGTGTCGAACAGCCCGCGGCGATTGAGTTGGCCGAACTTTCAACAGTGTGAGGAAAGGGGGTACACAAGATGCCCAACCCCTGCACGCGAATTTGCTCTGTCCGCTATGGAAACTCTGCACCCGTGTATTAGGGTACCAGGAAGTTGCACCCCATTTATAAGCACCTCGAGCAATACGAACCACAAAAACCGAAGTTTGACATAAGAGACCCATGTCAAACGGTCAACAGCGAGTTACAAAATCTTTTAAAAGCCCTTTTCGCTAAGTGCGAATTGACGAAAGCTAAGAGCCCTCTTAGCAAGGCAACCTTGGGTTAGTCAAACGGGCATCGTGTGTAGTAGGGCGGGGGAAGGAAGGGGTCAATGAAACTCAAACCATCGAATACACCTGTCCCGCGAATATTCCACACCCTGAAACCCCTGAACCGCGCCGAAATTTGCCCCAGGATGTGTGAAAATAGACGTAAGAAAAAAGTTCCCCGTAATTTCACACTGGGGTCGAGGATGGGTTGATGCTGACTTGGACCGAAATTTCTTGGCGATCATCTGAGATTTCTCTAACCAGTCTGGAACCACCACGTCAGGATTCCATTTGGGCACAATCTGAATCAGCTCGAACTGAAAGTCCCCACACTGGCCCATCAGGCAGCTCGTAGTATAAATGGGGTCATTCCTCCCCAGAATCACCCAATGTCGCACCACGCTTCGGCAGAGCTGCGGCTCGAAGTTGTGCCAATGACATCGAAACGCTCTAGTTAAATTATCGCAAGGCAGGTGTAGAACCTGCGGCGTTTCGTGGCTGGGGTTGAGATTCTCGAAGGCTCGTTGTGGGCGCATGTGTCATGGCTTTCCTTACGTCCACGTCATCCGTCAGTTATGTTGCCGATCTCCAGAAGCACTCCACGCCACAGAAAACTCGTGCGGAAACAGCTGAAAGGACACTGGCACCGTCGGAACGTTTGCTCCGTCAAGCGCCAACGGCCACCTCAGCGAACGTCTGACCCGACCCTGACAAACCGCCCTTGCTGCTTCATCTGTCGTGTAGTGAAGCATGCGAGCTGCCCTTGGCAAGCCCTGACAAAACACTAGACTTAGCGGTGATGGGGCACAACACTGCTGAAAAAGGACGTGGTGGAGAAGCAGTTCGCCAACCTAGTCCCACCGCGTTACAGTTCCTTTGACTTCCAATTTTGAACCGACTCTATGATCCTGGAAGGATAGTTGTAACGAATTTTGCCTAATTCCTTACTGAGGCACCTTATGCGCATACAACTCCAACTTTAGGAGTTCCAAGCTCCGTCCAACGACCTCGCCCTCCGAACGTCCCTCGCGCCGCCTTCGGGTTTTTCAACTACAAACCTGCACCCGGTCATGCACGGTCCCGCGGCCTCGTCCTAGCTAGCCTTCGCTACCGTGTATCAATGCTATGTCTCACTATTTCAGCAGTAGTTGTAATCACTTCCGCATTATTGCATTATGCGCACTCTCTTCTTTTACAACGATTTTTATGACTTCGATGAAGGCGCAAACGCTACCGTAGTCGGAGCGAAATGTTACAATCCCAAGTGGGACTTAGCAAAGGATCGCTCAGGATTGATCGCAGAGTAGTGTTGCAGCGGAAGTTTGAATCTCAGGTCAGAGTGAATGTAAATGACTGAGTTGATAAAAGCATGCATACATCGGGTTTATATAAGAAATAAGGGGAATACGAAAAGACATAGACTAGCCATGTACTCTAAGGGTACATTCCCTTATTGCAGCGAAATTTAAAACCGTGCGGCGCGGGATCCCGTTTTGAACCTGATCCCGCTCTTTTCACTTCAAATGTTTCTGCCTGCATCGGCCTTGGTTAGACGGTTGCTGCGTCGTTTCGACTCTTCTGACTCCTCGAATTCGTGCTCGGTAGGGTCAGCTCCTGCAGCATACAGGGATGCCTTCTCATAAAACTTCATATCGTAACACTCCCCTTCATTCCTGGGCGCAGGAGGAGCTGACTCGCTTGACTACTCCGCTAAGGTCAGAGCAGTGCTTGTACTGCTGACGTGGCAGGCGCTTGGTGAGGAAATCTGCTGCCATCTCAGTAGTCGGGCAATAGGCGAGGTCAACTTTTCCTTGGTCGATTTCGTCCTTGACGAAAAAGTACCGAAGTGCGATGTGCTTCGTGCGGTTCACGAAACCTGGCTTGTTCGCGATCGTGATGGCACTCTGGTTGTCGTAGTAAAGGCGAAAGGTAGGCGAGGTTGGAATTTTCGCCTCCTGTAACAGCTCTTGCAGGTACAGGCCTTCGCGAACTACTGCTGTCGCGGCGATGTATTCTGCTTCAGCCGATGACAGGGCAACCAGCTCCTACTTCTGTGAGTTCCAGGAGATTGGCCCAGTTGGTTCCAGGCGAAAAACGAAGCCGTTCGGGACCGTCGATTTGCAGGGTTAGCTGCATGATCTGCGTCCACATAGCCGTTGAGGTTGAAGTGTGTCGTCGTCAGCGTGGAGTAGGAGAGCCCGATGTCAGGTGTGGAGATGAAGTACTGTAGGGCGCGCTCCAGGTCCAGTTGGTTTTCAGCTACTGGCTTGTGAGAATACTGCGCCAGCTGGCTAGCGATGTACGAAATGTCGGGTCGGCATGTGACAGAGGCGAATAGCAGGCACCCCTGTTTCTGCCGGTACATTTGGAGTCCTGCGGGTGACAAAGGTTTCCTGTCCGGTTTGTAGTTGGCACTGGGGTTGCTGTAGGGAGTTGAGAGTGGTGCGGGTGAGATGTTGAAGCGTTCCCCCAGCTGCTCTGCGTACGTGGAGGCTGACAGGTGAATTGCTTCTGGCGCGTAAGTGATGTTCAGCCCCAAAAACTGCTTCACGTCGTGGTTGATGGTGATGTCAACGCGCTGCGCCAGGTTCTCCTCGAATTGATTAAGGAGTTTGTTGCAGGTGCCCGTGTACAGCAGGTCGTCGACGTAAACTGTCAGGAGGATGTAGTCGCCGCTAAAGTAAAGGCGGTACATTCCTGGGTCGTGTGGCAGCTGCTTGAAACCGATCTCGAGGAGAATTTTGTGCAGATGCTGTTGCCAGATGCGAGGCGCTTGCTTGATCCCATAGAGGGACTTCTTCAACTGACAGACCCTAGAATCCCCTTCTCTATAGGTGTGAGGTTGTTCCACGAGATGGTAGCATCCACCAACGCGTATAGAAACGCGTTCTTCACGTCGATCTGTCGCAGTGGCAGGTGCTTAGCGGCGGCAATGGCGAGTAGAATCCTGACGGAGGTGTGGCGACTGACGGGAGCAAAGGTCTGGTTGAAGTCGATGCCGTGGCGCTGATCGTACCCTCGTACGACCCAGCGTGCCTTAAAGCGCTCGATAGTACCGTCAACGTTGGTCTTCAAGCGAAAAACCCATCCGCTGAGTACCCTCCTCCCCTTCACTGCTGCACGATCGACTAGGACCCATGTGTCTCTTGACTCCAGCGCATGTAGCTCCGCATCCATCGCGGCACGCCACTCCTTGGCGTGAGGGCCGGTTAGGGCCTGACAAGGATTCTTTGGCTCCACGGCCCGTACGAGGGTGGTGACGGACGTGTGCAGGCCGAGGAGTTGCAAGCCTGACACATTGGTGGTGTCTGTGTTGGTGGCGACTTCCACCACGTCGTTGTCTCCGCTTTCGTAACTGGTCGCTGTGGTGCCTGGCTCTGCTTGGCGCTGCGCGGGGTCATCGTCACTGTCATCGTCGTCGTCGTCATCGCGCGGGCGAGGCGGTGTGCTTGGGTGTTCGTCAGTATGCTCTCAATCCAGGACCGCTGCTGCCGCTTCGTCTTCAGGGGACGCGAAGCTGCGACTGCTGTTGGCGTAGCCTCATGCCTCGTTGCGACGTTCGTCCTCGATCCACTGCTTCAAGGTAAGTCGCTCGTAGAAGAGGATATCACGCGCGGGAACAACCTCATTGCTGTCAATGTCAAGAATAAGCCACCCTTTGTGCTCGTGACTGAGCCCCAAATGAATTCCCCAGCGCGCGCGATGAACGAACTTGCCGATTGTGGCCGAGGTCGGCCGGTACTGCACTATGCACCCCCAGACTCTAAGCATGGAGGGGTCTCCCCTTGAGCCGGTCCACTTCATGTGAGGGGACAGATTGTCCCTGTTGGAGGTGGTGGAGAGGAGGTTGTGCAGGCGCACCGCGTGGTTCATGGTGTAGGGCCAAAACTTCTTTGGCAGGCCGG